AGATGGGAAGGCAGAGAGAGTTAGGAGCTGGTTGAATGGTCACAGGGAATCAGGGACAGAAAGGAGGAGGGTGCTGTCGCAGAATGGGGTGAGCAATTAGGGTCTCATAACAATGTATGTATAAAAATTTTGTATGGGAGACTAACTTAAAATGTAAACTTCATTTAATTACAACAATAAAAAAAATTTTTTAAAAAAGCAGTGGCATCACTGCAACGGATGACACTGTCAGAGGGGGTAACACCAAAATGACTATCTATAAAAACATCCCTGTAGTTAGGTATAACAACAGAAACATTTTTCTTAAGCCCAGTTTACATGTATCAATATACCTACAAGGCTAAAACTGTGCTTATATACTTTTTGAACCTTCTAATGTACTCTGGTCAGAGCTGTCATTATTACCCAGTTACCCAATTAATGGGCTTAACACAGCAATCACTATGAGAATGGTGCAGGACCATGCAGTGTTTTGTTCTGTTGTACACAGTGTCGCTATGAGTCAGACTCAAGGGTACCTAACAACCCAATTACAATGATGTTTCAAATCACGTAGTTTCATCTGCATGTGCTACAAGCAGGCGCTGTTGTTTTTTTTTTGTTGCCGGGGTTCTTAGTCGCTGATTTTATCAAATTTTCTGATATTTTAGCTACAATACTGTGGTAATTAGTATTTGTGAACCTGTATCAACAGCTTTTCTGAGAACGAAGTAGTAATTAAAGGAAAAGAAGAAGTGATATACAGGAATTACAATTCATGAGTTAACAGTACAAAAAACATTACCAAGGATTCTGTATCATCTGGGACAGGAGGAGGTCCACAGGGAGGGGGTGTGAAACCATGAACTACTGCACTGGGTGACACCAATCCTAGTGATGTCACTGTTTAAAAGAACAGTATGCCTTACCTAGTCTAGTCACTTCAGTTTTTTTCTTATGCTATACATATGTGCCCCAACTCTCTCACTCCAATTGCAACTGGCATAGAGAGAAACGTATCTCCCCAGATGGCCAGCAAACGCTGGCTTTTAACACTCAGTGAAAGGGAATCTCTCCTTTCATTGACCCTCAAGAGATGCAGCTCCTTTGACTCTCCATGACATACGATAAAACTTAACCCAGCCATTCAATGTTATGCGTTAACAAACAAAAGCAATTTACTCACACAGAATAGGCAGACCCAAGGCTAAGAAGCCATTACCTAACTATAAGTAATTAAACTCCATGAAGGAAGAACACCTCATGACCCTGATGAAATGCTTTAGCTATTCCCTGGAGCACAGCAGAACACAAGGATGTTTTTGAATTTCAAGCTGATGTACAGCAACCAAGAGAACTCCCTTTAAAAAATCCAGCAGTCAACACTTGAAGTATCACCTCAGACCACTCAGCAATGTACAGTTGAAAGTTATTTAACCTCTCTGTGCTTGTTTCCTCCTGTTAAAATGTTGATAATACTTACCTCTAGAAGCATTAAAAGAGTTAAGTAGAAAACTTTACAACAGTGCCTGAACTGACCATTACACTGTCTACCCCTGTAGTGCTTTTTCTATATCCTTCGCTTTAAAAATAATTCAAAGTAATTTATAGGTTAAAAAATTACAGCTCTTTTCCAATAAATACCAAAATGTTTAAAACTTCAGAATAGGTTAAAAAAATGTATCAAAATACGTAGCAGTGAAAGGAAGAGGCCACTTTCTATGGCAAGCCCAGTAATGTGCTCTAGCGGTCTGTCAGTGTACTAAAACTACCAAGAATGATTGTAAAATAAAAGCTCTCATCTTCCAGCACCCACTCTGCCCAACGAGAAGCTAACACTTCTTATTCAGATCAAACTAGTTTGAAACGGGGTTGAAAATCACCATTATAACAGGCTCCTTTGCATGTAAAGAATACTATAAATACTACTTATATTTCCTCCTTCCCCTGTTTTCTTCGTATCACTCATCACAACTTGACATTTTATAATACATCCAGGCAACCAATTTGCCCATTTTGCTCATGATATAACCCGAAATCTAGGATACATGTCAAAACAGATGCTCAAATATTTACATAAAGAATCAACTAAGCACAGAAAATTACAGGTTTGGTTTGACTTTAGGATCCAAAAAGGTCACTCATCACTACTTCCATATGATAAGAATTCATTCCTTCTGATTTTTCATTTATATTTCAAATTTACAACCAAGCAATATTACCCAAACCCAAAAACCCAGCTCCCATCGATTCCAACTCATAGCGACCCTATAGGACAGAGGAAAACTGCCCCATAAGGTTTCTAAGGCTGTAATCTTTACAGAAGACTGCCAGCTCTTTCCTCCAGCAGAGTCGGCTGGTGGATTCAAACGACCGACCTTTTGGTTAGCAGCCGAGCACTTAACAACTGTACCACCAGGGCTCCTTAAATACTGGACAAAGTAAACAAATACTTTCTTTCATTCAGCAAGTATTTGAGTGCCTACCATGTTATGTGCCAGACAACATTTCAGGCACTCAGTTCTTTAAACTTACTCTTCTTACAAAATTTCTTGTGATTTTTTTGTATAAGCTACAATCCACTTCTGTGATACTGCTGTTAGGTGCTGTCAAGTTAGTTTTGACTCTCAGGGACCCTATTTATGTACAACAGGATGAAACGCTGCCTGATCCTGTGCCATCCTCACAATGGTTGCTATGTTTGAGCCCACTGTTGCAGCCACTGTGTCAACCTATCTCCTTGAGGGTCTTTCTCTTTTTCACTGACCCTCTACTTTAGCAAGCAGGATGTCCTTCTCCAGATAACATTGTCCCCATTCTTCATGTGGGTGATCAGGAAGTAGAGAGAAGAGGGGAGAATGTACAAAAATCTTTACAAAGCTCGTTAGTAAGATCTTTTGGATCTGCCTTTTAGTCCCTTTTCCTAAAAAAGGACGCTTTATTTTAAGTGTATTTCTGGGAATTTAGAATCAACAGTCACCTGGAGCCAATATGGGTTAACATTTTGGATTAAATTAGTTCTGGTACAACCCCTCTCCCCAAATCTCCTTACAGGACAGTAACACCCATGTGTCACATTCAGTATTAGGTTAATAATTCTATCAATGGGCCCGATATCATAAATAGGTACAGTGATTTTCAAGCTACTGTGGTGAAAATTGTTTAAATGCCATTTATCAAATTAACAAAAAATGCTGCCCTGGAAAGAGAATCAACCAAATCAATAATGATAGATGTCAAAATCCAACTACCAGTGTTTTAGTTCCATTTATCCTACAAAGGACCAGTCTTCTTAGAGCTAAATTATACAGTTTAGATTTGAACCATTTATTTGAACTCAGTAAACCTCAAACTAGCTTGGAACTTAACAATCCCTGAGGATCACTTTAAACCTCATTTATCTTCTGTCGGTTTAAAATGTTATCCTGTATATAAGGTTTTTTCCTTCACCCAAAGACAATGTTCACTCCATTAGTAAAATAATTAAGTACAGGATTAATAATTTAAGCTGACAAGAAACGAAGACCCAGATGGTAGTCTGAAAAGATGTTTTGCTGTCATCTATGTTTCCAAAATGGGAAATTTCCTTTTACTGCTCTCCTGAAACCAGGTAAGAAGCACAAGTTTCCGACACTTTTAAGTGTAGTCGTTCCAGGCCTAAAGATCTGACAATGATAGCCTAAAACAGGAACGAGCCCCTTGAGGACACATCCTGTGCCTTGTTCATCTTTTTTTACGCATTGGACCTCAATCTCCGTCTCCCTTCGATAACTTTTTTTTTTTTTTTTTTGAGGGAGAAGTGAAGACATTGACAAGATAGCGGCCTACAAACTTGGCTCAATGAACTTACATTAAATGCCTCATTTGATCCCATACTTTGCCTACTCCACTCTCATTCACCTTAAAACTAAAATGGCTAGTTGAGTATCTTGTTCTGGAAACTTCAACAAAAGAACTCATTTGTTAAGAAAGCAATAGAAGTCCTAGAAGAATGAAAGACTTTTACAGGTCAAATCTTTTCTTAGAACCGTTGAGGAGTTTAATTAGGATCAACCTTACCTCTTCAACTAAAATACCCAGATCAAGACACCCATCAGGTTCTAACTGTGCTTGGAGTACACAAAATAACCTTATGTCAGTAACAGTTAACCATTCTTTAAAATCCTACCACTGAAGACCCCGCCCCACATCACGCATCAGCTAACACTGATACTTCCCTTCGGTACCAAATAAAAACGATTAAGACCAAACAGAAGCAGAAAAGAGTCTGAAACCCCCGGGCCGGGCTTACTTGCTCGCAATTCATTTTCACGTCCCACCATCTCTACAACTTGCAGCAAAGTAAGCACAGCCCAGACCCGGGCTCCTATCAGGCGCAGACGGCGGCACTCAGCTTACCACGTGTCGAGGGAAGCCGGCCGGGGTTTCCCCTCCCTGCGCGGCCACCGCCTCCAGTGGGCGGAGAGCCTGAGAGGCCTGCAACATCCCCCACCCCTCCCCGCCTCGGGACCTCCTCCCCACACAACCCCTCCTTCCTTCCCCTCGGAATTCGCAGCCTCCGCCGTTCTATACCCCCAGCGGCCTCTCTTCGGGATTTATTTTTGAGAGAAACGGGGGCGCCGTTGGTAGCGGGCTCCGCACTCTGGGCGCCTCCTGCTCCTCTGAGGAGCTGCCGCCCACTCCTTAGGGCGCCGGGCCCCGTCGCGGCCTCGCTCCCCTCTGCGCGAAGAAGCCGGTGGGGCTCTGCCAACCTCGGCGCAAAGAAGCGCGGCCACCGGCCCTCACAGGCCGCGCCGACCCCGGCTCCCCACAAGCCGCACCGAGCCCCGCGTCCCTCAGCCGTAATAAAGGCTGGCCAGCCCTAGTGCCGCCTCGCAGGCTGTGGGGCCGATAACAACAAAATAGGGAGGCCCGGGCGCCCGAGGCCCCAGCTCTCGGTTCTCCGTCCCTTCGTCCCTCCTCTGCGCAGGCCACCCGGCCGACTCCACGTTCCCCTTCCCTTCCAGGCCCCCAACCGTTACCGGCGGCTAGAACGCGGAGCCAAGCGGCCGGAGCTGCGCAGGCAGTGACTCAGGGCGGTAGCGGCGGCTGGAGGCGCAGAAGGCGGCGCCGCGAGCAGATGGCGCTAAAAAAGACCCGAGAGCCCGCCGCTCGCGCTCATATACAATTAGCGTCAGCACGTAGGGCCCGCTCCGCCGCCCTCCCCCGGGCCTCGCCGTCTCCTAGCAACGCAGCGGGAGGCGGGCTCAGGCCAGGTTGCCTAGCAACAGAACCTTCCTTCTTCTCCCGCGACCTCCACAACCTCGCCGGGGGTTCATGCCGCCGGCCGCCGAGGGCAGCGCTTTGGCTCCTTTCGTTCCCGCTTCCGCCACCTAATACGCGCCCGGCCATCCCTTTGCTCCCCGGTACGCGGGAAAGGAAGTCTCAACCCCATCATCTGCGGAAGGAGCTGTGATCCCCGCCAAGCCTTGGCCTACCTCGAACGCCCGCGGCGTAATACCGGGTTGGAGAGGGCCGATGTTCCTCAGCCACTGCGTTCTCTGCTCGCCCCATCCTGCCGTCGTGCCCGTCTCAGTTCCTGTCCTGGCCTAATTCTTGCAACTCCTCAACCCCCACCTCGACGGGTCAGAAGCTCGTTTTGTTTTAACTCAGCGGTCTCGGGCCATCCCGGGGTGCTCCTCATCGCTACCCCTCTGTTCCTTATACCTGACTTGTGAGCCCTCATTTCTGCTTTTGTTCTTTTGATAGATGGAAGTGGCATATTGTGTATTCTCTGGATGCTTTTTAATGAGAACACTCACTACTTCGTCTTCCTTTAAAAAAAAAAATCCTCAAGCCTGTGAAACGTAGCTGTTTTTCAATTGATGCTGGATTAACTAATTTTAACTCTTAGAACAGTGATTCTCAAAGGGTGGTCTGAGGGCCACTGAAACTCTTTGAAGGGAGAGAGGTCAAAGCTATTTTCATAACGCAGCAGATACTGTAGCTTACTGTGTGTCAGGCATTGTTCTAAGCGGCTTACACTTAGAACATGTTTTACACGTTTTAGCTCATTCTCACAGCAAGCCAACTAGTGAGGTAGGTACTGTTATTATCACTATTTTATAGATGAGGTAACTGGGGTAACAGGTTAAGGAACTCGTGCAAAGTTGTAATCATTATAGTAACTGGTTGTTAGGGATTGTGTGGTGGCCCCGAAAAAGATATGTTGAAGTTTTAATCCCTGGATCCTGTGGATGTGACCTTGTTCAGAAATAGAATCTTTGAAGATGTTATTAAGCTAACATGTGGTTATACTGGAGTAGGTTGGACCCAATCCAATATGACTGGTATCCTTAGAAAAAGAGAAGAAACCCAGAGGCAAGGAAACCATGTGAAGATGGACGCAGAGATTGGAATTAGGCTGCCACAAGCCAAGAAACACCTGGGTTTATCAGAAGCAGAAGAATCTTCCCCTAGAGTCCTAAATTTGGACACCTCCAAAACTGTGAGAGAATACATCTTTTGTTGTTTTAAACCACCCAATTTGTGGTAATTTGTTATGGCAGCCCTAGGAAACTAATATGATTGCTTATAACTCATCCCTTTTAAATGTATTTTGAACCACAGTTTGTACCTTTAAGCTTTTACTGTTTAAGTCCAGGGAAGGCATATTATTGATGCATTCGTTTTATAAATATGTGTCAGGCACAACTTAAGACACTGGAAATACAACAATAAACAAGAAAGACAAGTTAGTTTTTTTTAATATTTTATTGTGTTTTTTTGGTGAAAGTTTACATAGGAGAGTAGATTGTCATTTGACAGTTTCTATGTATTATTGTTCAGTGACATTGGTTACATTCTTCACAAATGTATCAGCATTCTCTTTGTTTTCATTTTGGTTGTTCTGTTTCCATTAATCTAGCTTCCCTGTCCCCCCTAGCCTTCTCATCTTTGGTCTAGGGTAAATGTTAACTATTTGGTTTCATCTAGACGATCATTTTGAGGGGCACAACACTCACAGGTGATGTTATTTATTTTATGGGCCAATCTGTCATTTGGCTGAAAGGCGATGTCTGCGAGTGGTTTAAATTCCAAGTTTAAAGAGTATCTCTGAGCCATAGTCTCGGGGGTTCATCTAGTCTTTACCGGTCCATTACGTCTGACCTTTTTTTAAGAAGTTGAGTTTTGTTCTACATTTTTCTCCCATTCCATCTAGGGCTACCTGTGGAGTCCCTGGTTGGAACGGTCGGAGAAAGACAAGATTCTTGACTTTATTGAGTTTATGTTCTAGTAAAGTGTGGCAAATGATAAATAAGATAATTTCAGCTATTAGTAAGTGAAAGAGCTATTAAGAAAATAAAATGAGACAAAGGAGTAGAAGGTGACTGACCTGAAGGTACCATTGAACACTACCTCTTTTAAACCCCAAAATCACACAATATGGTTAGATCATCTAATTTAATTACAGTGATTCTGGTCACTGATGTTGGACTCAGTTGAAGTTCCTTTTTTCTTCATCCCTATGATTTTCGTTTGGTAGGTTTTTTGTTTTTAACAGCATTGTAGCCTAGTGGTTTAGAGGTATGACTTTGGAGTAATGATGCCCAGGTTCCATCTCTATTCTGTTGCTATTGGTTGTTAGTGTTTGCCATCGAGTTGTTTCCGACTCATGGCAACCCCTTGTGTGCAGAGTAGAACTAACTGCTCCATAGGGTTTTCAAGGCTGTGAGCTTTTGGAAGCAGATCGCCAGGCCTGTCTTCCAAGGCAACTCTGGGTGGGTTCGAACTGTGAACATTTTGGCTAGTAGTCCAGCACTTAACAGTTTGTGCAGCCCAGGGACTCTTCCCTATTCTACCACTTATTAACTGTGTAAATTTGGGTAAGTCACTTAACCACCCTAAGCATCAGTTTCCATATCTGTAAAATGGGGACAATAAAAGTGCATTCCTCATAGCGTTCTTGTGAAATTTTAAATAACACATGTAAATTGTTTAAGATAGTGCTTGACACAATAAACACTCAATAAAAGTTAACTATTATCAACCTCTTACCAAGGTTTTGGTTTTGTTTTATTTTAAAAAAAAAAAAAAACAAAAAAAACTCTGCAGTCTTCTAATAGTGCCTGAGGTGATTTTTAGTGAAATATTTTATTAAAAGCACCTGGTCACAAATTTTAAAACATGTCTTTCTGAGCTGAAATAATCCACACTAATTACTGTAAAAATATTATAGTCAACATTTCTAAATACTAGATACAGACACTATAGGAATCAACCAGACAAGATGATAATAGAAATGGTACCTTAAATGTGCTTGTGTCTGTACTTCAGCCCCTAAGTAGTAGGAAAGAGCATGGATTTTTTTTTTTTTGGAATTAATTTTTTTTATTGTACCTTAGATGAAGGTTTACAGAAGTAATAGTTTCTCATTAAACAGTTAGTACACATACTGTTTTATGACATTGGTTAACAACCCCACGACATGTCAACACTCTCTTCTCGACCTTGGGTTCCCTATTACCAGCTTTCCTATCCCCTCCTGCCTTCTAGTCCTTGTCCCTGGGCTGTTGTGCCCCATTAGTCTTATTTTGTTTTATGGGCCTGTCTAATCTTTGGTTGAAGGGTGAGCCTCGGGAGTGACTTCATTACTGAGATAAAAGGGTGTCCGCAGGCCATACTCTGGGGGTTTCTCCAGTCTCTGTCAGGCCAGTAAGTCTGGTCTTCTTTTGTGAGTTAGAATTTTATTCTACATTTTCCCTCCAGTTCTGTCTGGGACCCTCTGTTGTGATCCCGATCAGAGCAGTCAGTGGTGGTAGCCGGGCACCATCTAGTTGTACTGGACTCAGTCTGGTGGAGGCTGTGGTAGTTGTGGTCCATTAGTCCTTTGGACTAATTTTCTCCTGTATCTTGTTTTCTTCATTCTCCCTTGCTCCCGAAGGGGTGAGACCAGTGGAGTATCTTAGATGGCTGCTCACAGGTTTTTAAGACCCCAGATGCTACTCACCAAGGTAGAATGTAGAATGTTGTCTTTATAAACTGTGCTATGCCAATTGAGCTAGATGTTCCCTGAGACCATGGTCCCCACAGCCCTCCGCCCAGCAATTCAGTCCCT